CCATGTTAAAGTAGCTCTGTTTATATTATATTTTTTACAAGACAAATCCAGGCTGTAGGAAATTCTTGTCCATTCTCTTCAACAAGTTAACATTTTTAATATCACCGATCCAGACGAGCAGAGCAAACATGGAAGTCATATGTTGAAGTGGTGGAGAGACAACATGGAAGGATCCAATTAGAATAGAACCAACTAAGAAAACTATATCTTATTTAAGAGAGAAATAAACTTATTGTGTTAACCTTCTAAGACATTGAGATCCATTTCTTAAAGCAGCTGGGGTTGCTATAACTTATCGATGCAAGAGGAAAAAGAGTGTATGTAGCTAAATATTGGTCTATTTTATAACATGGTATTAGGGGAAACTAGGCTTAAGGATTTTAGTTCTTGGCTTAAATGCAATGGAAAAAAATTACAAGTTTTAAATGGAGATGGAATCGGTGGGATGTATTAGATTATGAAGGCTGCCATAACTCATACCACAGACTGAAAATGGCTTAAACAGCAGAAATTTTCTCACAGTTCTAGAGGCTGGAAGTCCAAGATCAAGGTGTCAGAGATTCACCCTAATGTCCTTATTTTAATTTGATCACCTCTTTAAATGCCCTGTGTCCAAATATAGTCACATCTGAGATACCGAAGGTTGGGGCTTTAACATATGGATTTTGGGGGAATGTAATTCAGACCAAAACAGTGGATAAAAAGTGGAGCCTGGATAGTGGCATAACAAGTTTTACATTTTACAAGACTGGTTTTGGGGTGGTGTGGAGAATGAGCTGGACCAGAGTATTAATGGATTCAGAAGATTGGTTAGGAGGTTCTTTTAATGGTCCGTGCAAAAGGTTAGTGTAGCTAGAATTTGGTTGTGACTATAGAGACTGTGAGAAGTGGGTGGATGTGAGAGACTTTAAGAGATAGAGAGACTTCAGGAGATGAAATTTATAACTTGGCAAAGGTTGAGCATGGAATCTGAGGGAGCATTTGGTGGCAAGAACATTTTATGGCTTGAATAACTGTGTAGTGGTATTACTCCTTAAGATAGAGAACATGAGAAGGTCTGGGGGTAGGATAACTGAAGATCCTCATTTCAAATTTGGCCATGGTGACCCTAAGGTAACTCTGAGACTTCCAAAGGAAAATGTAAAGTAGTTGTTTGGATGATATCATTAAAAGAAACAAGAGAAAGGAAAACAATTATTTTCTAAAAGTTGTTCAGTGATATTCTCTAGATGTCCCCACAGTAAACCCTGTGAATTACACATACAGTTTTTAATTGTCACAGATAGTTATGGGAGTGAATCATGAGTAACTCAGAATGCCCACTAGAACGAATTCGACTTCATCCTACAGGGAATTCTTTGGAATCATAGAGGGAATATCTTTCTTTCTTCTTCCTTTGTTTTTATAGAACAAGTTTGGAAACAGATGTTATCTCCATTCATTTTGGAGTTACAAATGAAAGTCAGCGTGGCAGTAATCGCTGTCTCATTTCTGCATATTCTACATTACTTCAGGAAAGCTGTCACTTTCCAATTTTCCAATGTTTTGTAGGAACTGGGTAAGAGGGGAGTAATTTGTACATTTTCTTTTACTTAAAGTTATGTAAATTGTCTTTAGATATAACAAAATATCTATGTAAGACATTAAAATTCCAGTGAGGCATTGAGATTTTCCTCAACCAGTCATCAAAATCTGGACAGATTGGAGGATGGCTTACTGTAAAAAAAAATTTATCACAAAATTTCATTAATAATAAGCTTTGACAGAAGAATTAAATAAATGGGAAAAATTAAATTAATTGCAATAAAAATGATCTAACAGCTTTGCATTTATTTTATAATGCAGAGAGCTTAGAATTAAGAAAAGTTATACATCTTCTATTTACTTTATTTGTAATTTTGCAGGATGAAGATAATCTTAGCCTTTGAGTTTGGTGGCCATCTATAATATATAGATTTACATTTTCATAAAATAATGAGAATAAAGGCTAATGTCAGTAACATAACTCTTATAAGTATATAATATATAATATAACACATATAGTCAGCACTGCTTCCTTTACTCTAACGTGGAGATATTTTTTTCATGTTACTCTTAAAGAAAAAATTCCCAAAGCTAACTTCTTCTTTGTTTAATTATAGTGAATTCATAAAATGAAATTAGGAATACCTATGATTTGGTGGTTTGGATTTCAAAGAAAGCAAGGCCACTATATTCAGGACAAAATCTCCACTTTGAAAAAAAAATGACATCTTTTGAACATTCACATAGTCTATTTTCAGCAAATATACTCCAGTGAATCTTTTTAGGTATACATATTAATAATAGACTTCCTGCAAGTATGTGTTTAGTAATTTAAATTTATCAAATCTTTTGGTTTTTAGTTTGGTGAAGATGGAGAAAAACAACGCATCATTCTCCCCACTAATTAAACAAATCTAGTTCTTTTAATGCATTCTCATTCAACATTTCTTGTAAGTATCATAAAAGTATTAAAAATTATAAAAATGATCTTTAAATGAGTAAGTTATTATTTATTTCAGCTGTTATTATTGTCGTAAATGTATTTTTGTTTTCATTTCAAGGAACATAGGAGGTTACACATTCATCCCGAAATATTTGGAAAGTTTTGTTCTAGATTGCCTTTTAGGTATAGTTTATGAGTCACAGAAGAAAACCAATCTTATTAGTTCATAAAAATATTGGATATTATATTCATAACAGTAGTAAAATGTATAAACCCCCTAGGAATAAATTTACCAGTAAATGTACTAATACTATATAAGGAAAACTATAAAAATGACTACTATACTTGGGTTCCAACTTAAACAATTTCAAAATACCTTTTGACTAATTTAAAAAATAATTCTTTTTCTTAATAGTCAAAGGTCAACTATCAAATATTTAAGTGAAAAATATCATTAAGAATTAAAGATCAGTATACTAAGTGAAATAAATTAGGCAGAGAAAGAGAAATACTATTTTGTTTCACTTACATGTGAAATCTAAAAAAACTATTACAAACCAGAATCACAGATGGTTACCAGAAGGGAGGGGGTAAAGGGATGGGGGAAAAGGGGAAGGACAATATAGTCAATAATATCGTGGTAAGTTCTCATGGTGACTTAGATCATAGTGGAATGATCATATTGTAAGGAGTAAAAATGCTGAATCACTATATTGTATACCTGGAACTAATATAACCAATATAATATTGTATACCAACTACACTTACATAAAAATTTTAAAGATATAATTAAAGATCATTATTAAATAATTTGAAAAATTTACATCAGCGAAAGATAAATATCCTTTGAGATTCAGGGGTTAAGTTAATTGACCATTACTAGAGTCAGCTAAGGATCACATGGATTTTTTTTATTGTTGTGCAATTACAGTTGTCCCCATTATCTCCCCCACTCTACCCACCCCCACCTCCCGCATACAATCCTCCCCTCGAGTTGTCTTTGTCCATGGGTTCTCTATACATGTTCCTTGATGACCCTTCCCCTTTTTTTCCCGTTATCACCCTTCACCCTCCCTCTGCTTACTATACGTGGAACCTAGTCAACAAAACAAACAAGTGAGCAAAATATAACCAGAGAAATGGAAATAAAAGAACAAATTAACAGCATCCTTTTATGTATCTTTTTAAGCACACATGTGCATATGGGCAGACACACAGATATGAACACAGACATACACAGATACACACATATATAACAACATTATAAAAGAGCATATAACATATATAAGGTTTTTGCCATAAACTTTGTGTGTGTAGGCGGTGGTGGTGATAAAGAATCTTTCTCTCCTCTGCTTTTACTATTCCTACCACTACATCTACTCCTGAACAAGAAAACCAATGTTAGCAACTTAATGTATTATTCTACAACCTTACCCATGCTCATTGCATCATATTTATTTATATTTATAAACAAAATATTTGAAAATTATGAAAATGGGACCATAAAATTTAAAGTTCTCTATAATTTGATTCCCTCACTTAATAATACATTGATAATATCCTTCCATCATTAATTGGTACAGCTCAAATACATTTTTTTATGTTTGACTAATCTCCACAGTAAGACAATATCAAAATTTATTCAACCATTTTGCATTTGTGTTCTGTTTCCAGGTTTCACTCTCACAAACAATGCTTTATTAAATAATCTTTGTATTTTATTCTTGTATATGAATGATATTATTTCTAGAATATACAGACAAGTGTAAGATGGTAGATCAAAGTTCATATAAATTTTTAATTTTGGCAGATGATAGACTTAAAAAGCTGTTATAATTTATATTTTACCACTTAAATTAAAAATTCTTCTTTTCTTATTTTCCTGTCATCAGCAGATATTATTTCTCATTTTGTTTATCTGATAAGTAAAAATGATTCATCAATTTAAATAATATTCCTGATTATTAAGGAGGATAAGCATTGTTTCATATACTTATTGGTCACATTAACTTACTCTTCTATAAATATATCCTTTCATATTTTTTGCCCATTTGTTTCATTGTGTTAACTTGTTTTCACTTAGTTGTAAGAGGTTTTGTGTGTGTGTGTTTTATAATTTACCATATGTATGCCAAATATGTTACACATATTTGCCCAACACATTTCTGTGATTTCTCTTTGTCTCTGTAATAAAAAGTATGTGGTTATGCCTAAATTATTAGTCTAGTTCTCTTCCATGTATAACGGTTTTGCAATTACATCTCTTCCACACACAATAGTTTTTCACATGGTTTTAATATTGGCTCAAATAGTTGCATTTATTTCAGTTACTTTCCAATTTTAGTGTCAGATACCTAAACACAGAATTTGTAAACAAGTTTACTACAAGATGAAAATTAAGCCATCAAAACCACTAATTAAATGGAAAATAACATGGAGGTATAACTTAATTTGCAAATAAAATACCACTACTTTGTGTCACTTTTAGCCATTTTTGTCACATAGTTTCTCATTACAGTGATCAAATGTGGATATGTCAGGAGGAAACAAGACTCTGGTGACTGAGTTTGTTCTCACAGGACTTACAGAGCAACCATGGCTGGAGGTCCTCTTCTTCCTCGTGTTCTTAGTTATCTACCTCACCACCATGGTGGGCAACCTTGGACTGATGGCTCTTATTTGGAAGGATGCCCATCTTCACACACCCATGTACTTGTTCCTCGGTGGTTTAGCTTTTGCAGATGCTTGCACTTCAACTTCTGTAACTCCCAGGATGCTGGTCAATTTCTTAGATAAGACTGCAATAATATCCCTAGCTGAGTGCATCACCCAATTTTATTTTTTTGCTTCCAGTGCAACTACAGAATGTTTCCTACTGGTAGTAATGGCCTATGACCGCTATGTAGCCATATGTAACCCCTTGCTTTATCCAGTGGTGATGTCCAACAGACTCTGCACTAGACTGGTAAGTATTGCATATGCAATTGGTATTATACATCCCCTGATTCACGTGAGCTTGTTATTAAGATTAACTTTCTGCAGGTCTAACATAATAGATTATTTCTACTGTGAAATTTTACAACTGTTCAAAATTGCATGCAATGACCCATCTATTAATGCATTAATGACATTTATTTTTGCAGCTTTTATACAAATATCCACTTTAATGGCCATCATAATCTCTTATACTCGTGTGCTCTTTGACATTCTGAAAAAAAAGTCTGGAAAGGGCAAAAGCAAAGCCTTCTGCACATGCAGTGCCCACCTGCTCTCTGTCTCATTGTACTACGGCACTCTCATCTTCATGTATGTGCGTCCTGCATCTGGCCTAGCAGAAGATCAGGACAAAATATATTCCTTATTTTACACAATTATAATTCCACTGCTAAACCCATTTATTTACAGCTTGAGAAATAAAGAAGTGATAGGTGCCTTGAGAAGAGTTGCAAAGAAGTAGACTGTTCCCAAGGGAAATTTCAAATTGTTTCTCTTTTTACCCTTCGCATTAACAAGTCCTCAGGTCTTGCAGATGAGCCATGGCTCTGCCCTTTTGCCAGAGGGCTAGTGGTCAGAGTGGTCGGCGAGCACTGGGTGAAGGAACCCAGCTTCACACAATGTTTTCTTGGATGTCAGTCTAGTTGAAATTGCAACTTCAGTTTTAGTGACTCACATCTTCCATAGTTGATTTCTTTAAAGATACTGTAATTCCTTTTTATTTGAACATTAGTTTTTGAAAGTTTGTTATCTACAAGGGACTACTCCCCCAAATTTTATTTAATACTTGTCAGTGACTGAGACTGGAATATAAATGCAAGTGGTTTATTTGTCTAGAATTGGAAAAAGCTATCACAATCTTTAAAATTTATTTGGTTTAGAAAGTTATTTCCCTTTTTACATTTTGGGGAGGTTCTCGCTTTAAAAATTTAGGTTAACTAGTAATTTTATTTTTTATGTATGTTTTAAAAGAATCATCTTATAATTTTTTAATTACATCTAACTTTCTTTGCTATTATCTAATTCATTAATTTCCCCTATCTTTAATTTTTTCCATCTGCTTTCTTTTCTTACAATATTTTGTTTTCTTCTAGCTTTTATATCGAGAATTGAATTCATTTATTTTTAGTTTTTATTGTTGTTGATATTGTGGGTATTAATATTTTGTGATATTATGAATATTCTTCTGAACTGAATTAGCTCTTGAGTGTTACACATGTTTTTGGCTTTCTGCCTCTCATTGTCATGTGAGATTTCTATTTTAACGTTCTGTTGGTCCAACATAAAACATCATTCTAATGTGAAATCTTACTGCCATATAAAATTTCCAAACAGTTGAATCTATTAATGCATTGATTCTTTTTATTTTCTTAATCTTTACTCAAACTTCACATTGATGAGTGACATTATCACTTACCCTCATGTCTTCTTTGCAATACTGAGAAGGAATTATGAAGAAGGCAGGAGTAATGCCTTTTCCACGACAGTGCCTAAATGCTCACTGTTCCCTCCTTCTATTATAATGCTCTTTTCTTTTTTCAGATATGTGAGTCTTGAATCTGGCCCAGATGAAAACAGGGCAAAATGAATTCTTTGTTGTATATTGTTATAAATCCTTGCTAAATCTCTTTTTACACAGTAAAAGAAACATTTTAGATGGACTAATAAATGATAAAAATATATATATTTCTTAAATTAAATTTTCTTGGTATTTAACAAATTTCTATTTAAATAGATCACAACACCTTATAGGTGTCATGAACATTGATATTACTCAATAAATTTTTTATCGAAAAATGGAAAAGATGCAAACTTTATATGACTATACTACAACAATGTAGTTATGATTATTAAGTCTTTAAACACTCAACTAATTTATCAGAGTGTATGATTTTTTTTATCTATAGTCAAAAGTAGAGGACTATTTCAGTTTCATCTGCTACTATATTATCACCTCTGTGGATAATCATGGGGTGAGTAAACACATGAAAGCTCTTACTGCAATAATAGCCCTTTTTGAAAACTATTTGAATCACCCATAAAGAAAGAGGCTTCTGTAAGTCTTTTGTAAATTTTCCATAAAACCAAACCATTTTTCAACTTTATGATCCCTGAACAAGTTGCTTTGCAACAGTATTTTATACACAAAAAAAATTGTGATTAAAAAATAAGTTAATATGTTTTAATAACAAAAGTGACCATTTACAGCCTCTTCAAGCATTTACAGATAATTACAGTCACTTTTAAAAGTCAGTTTATCCTGCTCAGTGTGCCTCAGTTGGTTGGAGCATCGTCCCAAAAATAGAAAAATCACAGGTTCAATCCCCAGTCAGGGTGTGTATGAAGACAACTGATTGATGTTTCTCTCCCCCTCTCTCCCGCCCTCTTTCCCCCTCTATTAAATCAATAATCATGTCCTAGAGTAAGGATAAAAAAGTAAAAACATAAAAGTAATTTTGAACAAGTAACTTCTCCTCTGATATTGAAATGCCTAAATATATAGACAACTATTTAGACAAATATTTACCAATAATTTTCACAATACACAGAAATAAACATTTCTTGTATGAATGAATTTCCATTTTTATTTTGACATATCAATTATAATTGTTATTAGAAGTACTATGACTATAGAATGTAGTTTTAAGTAATTAGAAAACATCTGAGATTTTTCATTCTTTCCAAAATCTTCTAACATTGGTGTCTCATTTGAGAGGGACTGATTAAATTAAAACTTAATTGTACCTTCCTACCTTCTTTTAACTTTTTTCTGTCCAACATGGTATCTATTGTATGCCTTCTAAAGTTCTTATTAATATGCTTGTATTTTAGTGATAAATAAAACAAAAATATTTGTCTAAATAAATGAGCAATATTTTTTCTGTTTCTGCTATAGCATTTCTTTCCTGATACATGATTTTTAGATGACAATATCTAGTCTTTCTGTATTGCTTAACATACAATTTTGCAGAAAATTCTTTACGCAAGTTAGTTTGAACTGAAGAATAGCCTGAGACTCTAGGAGCCTCCTACACCTACTGCCCTCACTAAGAATAAAGCAAGTCTGTGCATGCAGGTGTAGAGTTTTTAGTACCAGAGATTACCACTTTGGTGACAGCAGATTATATGAGAAGTCACATGATCCAAGACCTTACAAGCTACAGGCCTTCCATTTTTCTCTGTTGTTTGTTTCTGTGACTGCCATTTTCATGTGCATCTATCCTATGCCTGATAATGCATGGGGTCAGGTGACGGGAAATATGACTTTATATCATTATGAGTACCATGTTTGGTTAAGAATATCTGAAGCTATAATATTAATAATGCTAGCTACTCAAGGACACTGTACTGAATTTCCTGTATGGGCCAGAAAAATTCCAAATCAAGGTAGTCTTACAATATAAATTGATGGAACACATCCAGTATCTCGCATACCAAGGGAAATATTGCTCATTTGTAATGTAATTGTGTATGCTACAATTACACAATTGTGTAATTGTGTATATACATATGCATATGTATATAGGTGCATGCATATTTCTTAAGTACATTTTATTGATTATGCCATTACAGTTGTCCCATTTTTCTCCCCTTTATCTCCCTCCACCCTGCACCCCCTCCTTCCAGCATTACCCCCACTCCTTAGTTGATGTCCATGGGTCGTACATATAAGTTCTTTGGCTTCTTCATTTCCTATACTCTCTTTAACCTCCTCTAGTCCATTTTGTGCCTACCATTTATGGTTCTTATTACCTGTACCTTTTTCCCACATTCTCCCCCTCCTCCTCCCCACTGATAATCCTCCATGTGATCTCCATTTCTGATTTTGTTCCTGTTCTAGTTGTTTGCTTAGTTTTAGTTTTTCTTTTTTAGTTTTCTTTTTTGGGTTCAGTTTTTAGGTATAATTGTGAGTTTTTTGTCATATTGCTGTTATACTTTTTGATCTTTTTCTTAGAAAGGTCCCTTTAACATTTCATATAATACGGGCTTGGTGATAAAGAACTCCTTTAACTTGACCTTATCTGGGAAGCACTTGATTTGCCCTTCCATTCTAAATGATAGCTTTGCTGGATAGAGTAATCTTGGATGTAAGTCCTTGCCTTTCATGATTTTGAATACTTCTCGCCAGCCCCTTCTTACCTGCAAGGTTTCTTTTGAGAAATCAGCTCATAGTTTTATGGGAACTCCTTTGTAGGTAACTGTCTCCTTTTCCCTTGCTGCTTTTAAGACTCTCTCCTTATCTTTCCTCTTGGGTAACTTAATCACGATGTACCTTGGTGTGTGCTTCCTTGGATCCAATTTCTTTGGGACTCTCTGAGCTTCCTGGATCTCCTGGAAGTCTATTTCCTTTGCCAGATTGGGGACATTCTCCTTCATTATTTGTTCAGATAAGATTTCAATTTCTGCTGTTTCTCTTCTCCCTCTGGCACCCCTATGATTCAGATGTTGGAATGTTTAAATTTGTCCTAGAATTTCCTAAGCCTCTTCTCATTTTCTTACATTCTTGTTTCTTCATTCTGTTCTGATTGAATGTTCATCTCTTCCTTCTGCTCCCAATTGTTGATTCGAGTCCCGATTTCCTTCCCTGCACTATTGGTTCCCTGTATATGTTTCTTTATTTCACTGTGCATAGCCTTCACTTATTCCTCCATTTTGCAACCATGCTCAACCAATTCAGTGAGCATCCAGATTACCAGTGTTTTGAACTGTGCATCTGATAGGTTGGCTATCTCTTTATCACTAAGTTCTATTTTTGGAGCTTTGATCTGTTCTTTCATTTGGGCCATATTTCTTTGTCTCAGCTGACTGTTATGTTGGGAGAGGTGGAGCCCTAGGTATTCACCAGGTGGGGGCACCCACTTTACTGTGTTGTGACACTGTATGTGGAGGTGGGGTCAGAGAGGTAACGATGTCACTTGCTTGGCTCTTGCCCCACTTTCCATCACTTCCCTCACTTCCCACAAGCAGGTTGTGCCCTTTTGGGTGCTGATTCCCAAGTGAGTGAGCTTTGTGCATTGTAGGATCCCGTGGTCCTCTCCAACAGCCTCTCCTATGATGCTGGGAGTTTCTTCCCCACATGTTTTTACAGTCAGAAGTTTTGAGGCTTCCTTTTCCCCCACTGGAACCCTGAGTTGTGCAGTTTGTTTCGCTCCCCAGTTGTTCCTCCCAGCTTATCCACACCAAATGTGGGATATCCTGGTCAGGCAGCTGCTGCCTTGCCCACCCGGTCTGCCAGCTGCCACCTGCTGTCGGTCCTCTCTGCCCTGGCTACCCATCTCTGCCTCTTCTACCAGTCTGGGTGAATGTTTCTTTTTTAACTCCTTGGTTGTCGGACTTCCATGCAGTTTGATTTTCTGGCATGTTGTATTTTTTTGTTGTTTTTTTGTTTCTAAATTGGCTGTTATCCTTCTTTTGGTTGTGTGAAGAAGTGTTACCTACCTACACCTTGGCCATAACAGCAGT